CAAGTAAGCTGTGAGGTTGACAAACAAAATTTAGAACATTTTTACATACATCAGTCTCATATCATTTAATATAGTATAGCTACTGGTTTTAAATATTATATGAGGCTTCTTAATATTTTAATAGTGCCCAAATAGCTTCACCTTAGATGTGATGCTTATCTGTAATGGTTTTTGTTAATTAACTTTTATTGTTCTCCCTGGAGAATCAGCAACAAAGAAAATACTTTAAAATTTACTTTTAACTGAGCTGAGTATAGAAATAAACTCTTAATTTCCCCTTTTCTGTTTGAAAATAGTATTTTTATTCAAAATGTTTGTAATATAATAGGACATACACAGTGAAGCTTTTTGAAGTTATTTCCAAAATTCAATAGCACTTGAATATTATATCTGGAAAAACAATCAGGTACAGAGTTGATTTGATTATATTTGTTTTGATATGGTTTTATTTGATTTAGGAGCATAGTAGAAAAACTTTTAGATTCACCAAGAGTTATATAAGGGTCAATAAATCAAGAGCTACACCTTTCTTTGTGAATAAAATGCTCCAAATAAGGAGACTTTGGATGATTTAGTCCTTACAGAATTGACCTATTTCAGAACCTAGATATTCTCCTAACATTAATCCAAGAGAGAAAGAACTTACATAATATTCCCTCAGTGCTTTACTATTGTCCAAGTACTGTAGTGTGCTCGGCACTTCTCATTCAGTGTTTCATAGATTTGTTACTATCTTAAGAGCTAGAGGAGAAAACTGAGGCAGAGAGGAGAAAACTGAGGCAATAAGTGGAGGAGCCAGAACAAGACCCAAGAACACTGGCTGTATAGTATATGGAATTGTGCCACATGGGTAAACACACTGGCCTACACATGCCTGTTAACAGACTTCAACTATGATCTGTCTGTTGGCTCAAAAGGACCTCAGTCGATGCCAGTTTTGCATACAGTCACAATAATTAGTTGACTCCATTTTTTTCCTGAGATACTGAGAATGTTCTTCTTTACATGAATATCCTTCTGCACTCTCCAGCACTCTAATTTAAATATTTTAGCTTAAATTAGCATTTCCTAAAGTGTGTCCCATGGAGCCTAAACTAAACCTTGGGAAATATTAATAATCATTATAAACAAACAAAAAAACTTTCTCTGATCTCATAAATTTAGGAAACACTGAGTAAAAAAATGTTGTTGGAATAAAGATTCCCAACGTGTTCAACATGTAAATGAATACTATGAACCTTCATAAGGAAGATATGTTAAACCATGTCATAAACTGTTTGGTACAAGGAGACAAAAGGCTCAATGAGCAGAATTTAAAGTTCTCGTCAGGAGTTCAAGTTCTTCTGAAGCCCTGCTCCCAATCAGTTCCTTTGTGAATCTGTCCATACAGCAAAAGTTTTGATGTTCATTATCTCAGTTGTTCGTTAACATTTACAGTGTAGGACAATTTAGAGCAGAGCTGTACAATCGAGACATGACTTTGAACCATGTCAAGATAACACACTTGCAGGGAAAATTTAAGCATGGATTGATCAGCCAGCATTTGTTGACCTGATGCTAGACATAATCCTAGAGCGAGTGAAGCAGTCTTTGTACACAGCAAGAAGCTACGAGGTCTGGACAGCATCCCTCTCGGGGTTCTTTCTTTCTGGTTTTCACTTTCTTTTATCTACTCTGCCTGTACCCAGAGAAAACTCTTAAGTTTATGCTTCCTTTTGTCTGCCCTCATTCAGGATTGTCATCCAGGAAAGACTTTCCAAAATCCTTAAATTACCTGTTTCTGAAATGCTACAATCAACATGTTTCCAATTCTCATTATTATTCACATGTTACCAAAAAAATTTTTTTCATTAAACTAATTCATATAGATCAAACAGACTTTTCAGATTTAGATGATTGTAGAACTCTGTGTACAACCCTTACTGATATTCCTCTAACTTACTCATCCTCAGCAGACACATTCTGGAAACGGTGACATAAGGCAAGGAGTGAAGCCAGGAATCCAGGCAGGGAAGAGAAGAGCTTTCACAGGAACTGGGGATGACTCATGCCTTATCTTTCCTACCCAGGATACAGAGTTTCATGAAACCCTACCTGCATCTACATAATGTGGTCAAAGAAAGGAAGGTGTTTTGCAGTTTCCCAGCAATATCATTACCAGTGTCGTCAAGTGCCTAACATAACTGTACATACAGATCATCCCATGTTGAAAATGGCATAAAAATTGGGGAAAATTTGTGTGGGAGTTATCTAGAAACATACAAAAAATAATTAATCATCAGTTTACTCAGTGGCAATTTGATGTATTGGGGATATTTTCTATGTAGTCACCAGGCTAAGAATTAACCTGTTTTTTAGCTCTCCCTATAGTTGCCACTGTACCTCAGTTCATATTAACTTCATGTTCTTCCTTAGAAGTACGTGTTATATTTCTGATTTTCTTATTATCTAACCAGATATTGGCATAATGCCAACACTTAGAAACTTTTGAAAGGCCTTCAATCCTCAAGTTACTGTGCCCTAGGAATAAGAAGCTAGTTCCTGGACTTACATCATAAGTGGAAAATGCAACTCTTACAGATCAGCCAAATTTTCCCTATTGCTTTCCTGGAATTACTACATCACTGTATTACAGTAATTCATAGCATTAGGTAATTTAAATTCTCCCAAACTACTAATCATTAAGATTTTTCACTTAAATATTGCCCCAGCGACTTTTATGCAAACAAATCCCAGCAGCCAATGATGATTTAGACTTAAATTTATTTTTCTATGCTATGGTGAATGGCAATTTGGGGAAGAAATGTATCTCATTTTCTCTAGAATATAAAATATTCCAAGTTGCAAAAATTAAAAATTAAAAAGGAAATGTTAGAAATAATATGGAGAAAGTGTATATATATACCCAGTATGTGGCTTACTAGGGGCTTCAATAAAATCAAGAGCAGTTCTTATACAGGTATGAATTTTTCTTTTCTTAAAGGATTTTGTCTCTTTTTTCCCAGATGAGGACAAAAACAAAAAAACAGCCAGGAAAAAAATAATTTAAAATTGATGACACAGTTAGGTTACTGAAACTAATGAATCTGAGCTACACCTGTAAAAATTTTATATCTTACTGATTAAAGGAAAGATCCAAAAATACATCTAAGCTGATCATTTCATTCAGTTAGCTCTGGATCAAAAATTTAAAAAGGCTTTCTGCTATTTTGCGCTTCAATAGGCCAAAGCTAACTGATTCCACTGGAACTCCAGGGACTATATTGGGGGCAGATCTTTTAAGATGTCTTAGCTCTATAAATTAAGTAATTCTGTGGTGGCTTTTCACTTCTCTCGATCTCAGTGTGACTTAACCACTCTCAATCTCAATTTTCTTTTCTTTAAAGTGTAGATAATTATAGCACCTCTACATCAAGTTGCTGTGGCAATTAGATGAGATGATGTATAAAAGTGCTTATAAGAGTACTTAACACACACCTACTCAATAAATGGCAGCTGTTACTAGCTTTTATAATACTAGTTATAATTTAGAAGGCCCAACTAGTGGAATTTGAATTGAAATAATAACTCAGGGAATTGAATCTCTCCAAATCGAAGCACATTAAAGGTTTAATGAGAAACCCCATGGATTTACAATTTATCCAACAACAGCCCTGCTTGCTCTGAGGTGCTTAGAGCTTCCAGAGAGCCAGGACCTGGCATCTTTACTGCAGAGTCAGGAGGCTGCACTGCAGCATCCTGGGAGCCCAGCTCTACTCTGGGCATTTGTTAAAGGGCCTTAAATACAATTGGCATCTCAACTGCAAACTGTGTATGCCTGAGAGACATCACACATCTTGGAGGTGGTGAAACCCAGCTGTGGGAGTTAGAAGTCTATGATAATTATACAGGCAGAAGCTTAGTTGTGCAAGATACCTATTATCAGATGATAACACCTCTTAATAATGAAAGGGAAAACCAGCACAATATACAAAGCATAAGAGTGTTAGCAAATGCAGAAATCCCCCAAAGGAGTTTGCCATGCCATCAGGAAAAAATTTGAAGATGTTATTTCAATAAAAACATTGAGGATTTTAAAAATTATTTTAATTTCAGTGACCAGAGGGGAGAGAAGAGGGAATTTCAGGGGAGAATGGGAAGGATTTACAGGAACAAATTTAAAGGACACATGGACAAAAGCTAGTGGGAGGGTGGTAATGGGAGGGAAGTGGGGAGGGTTGGGTGGGTGGGCTGGAATGGGAGTAAAAGGGGGAAAACTCTACTTGAACAATGATTAAAATAAAATTTAAAAAATTATTTTAATTTATCTCTCAAGGATATGTTTATTAATTGTTAGAGAGGGGGGAAGGAAGAGAGAGACAAACTTCAATACGAGATAGAAACATTGACCAGTTTCCTCCTATAAGCACTCTGACTGGGGATTGAACCTGCAACCTAGGTAAGTACCCTAACCAGAAGCAAACCCTCAACCTTTTGGTGTACAGGATGACACTCCAAACAACCGAGCCACCTTCCCAGGCCAAAATGTTGAGGATTTTTGAGGATAAACCTTTATTAATCATCATAGCATATGTGTCTACAGTTACTGACATTTATTTTATCCTTATGTGATAATGGATAGTTCAAGAGACTAACTTACAAAAATAACAATGTTTATTAAAAAATAAGGATAACTAATGCCTTTCTTAATCACTGGGTCACTAAACAACCAACAATCAGAAACACAAATTTCTATGAAATCATTACCAATGTAAATGAATACACAATTGTTCTTGAAGGCAGGAAGGTATATCTCATTGACATTAGTAAACTTTAAACCTCTTAATGAAATTTTGAGCACTATAGCAAACATTTCATGGAAGGTTTTTTATTTATATGATAAAATTATAACTCTGAAAGCTCAAAACTCATTATTTTTATTATTTAAAATTGCTTTAAATGCATATACAAGCACACCAATAGACACACATATACATAAGTCAGAGAGAGAAAATGCTTACTGTCATTTCATTCATACTCAGGAGCGTGGGGCTGGGTGGCAAGGTACCAAGGCGATATTTGAAACCTTCTTCTAAAGTCATTCCCCAGAATTGACTGTAGTTCTGGGCTGTCCATCTGCCTTACAAATGAAAGCAAGAAATATGTACAGACTGTGTAATAACACTTTTTTAAGTACATGTTCGTTTATATTTTTGAAATTACACAGAAGTAAATCTCACAAAATTGGAACTATTACTAAAAGCTAGATATTTTCTATATTAGTGGTGCACTATTGATTACTGTAGCAGGGAAGCACATGAGACACTCTTCCCTGGCGAAGTCTGTTTCAATCACTTTCATGACTCACGTGAAGAAACTAAGACTATACCAATACACACTAAATTTAAAGATATAAAATCTTTACAAACTATAAAGTGATTAAGTGTGCAGTTTCCTTTAAATGTCTTTAAATGCATTTTAGATAGAAGCTTGAATGTATAGAAATATACATATAGATTAAATAAGATAATCTGTTTCATTTATAACTTAGATTTGAAAAGAACTTGACCACATAAAAAGGAGTACCCATAAAAAACTGAGAAGATAGGTACTCTTTAAAAGATTATATTATTTAATTTTATTGAAATTTTATTGAAATATTTTACTTAAATACTGAAATAGTCTATCATGTTGACTTAATTTGTGGTAAGTGCTCAATCACATTAGTTATTAGTAATTAATATTCACAACATAAATTCAATTGGTATGAAAATAGATAAAAATATGTGTATTTTTCTAGAGACATATTATGTTCCCTTACACAGAAAAATGAGGTTTGTTTTCAAATTCTAATACTGAAATTTGAAGGCAACAAAACTTCTTTAATGTTAAGAGGTGAAAAATGAGAAAGATGAAAGTAATTTAATCATTGCTTGGTTGAATTATCTACAAATAGAGGAAAGTATATTTTCAGAATCTAAATCTGAACTTTATTTTGTTGCATTTATTACCAAATTGTAATGTGGTAGGCTAGTAGACTGACTGAATATAAAACTCAGTTTTCAATAATATGCTTAGCAAGTTAATGCCTTTTTTAAAGATCTGTTAGTTCATAAAATCTTAAGCAACTTCAAACCACAATTTTAAAGTGCAATCTCTGTCACCCAAGCAATTTCAATATGAAATCCTCTGACTATATTAGTTATTACAGCATCATTTAAAAAACTAACAGGACCAGCCTTAGGCAAAAATCATAATATCAGTAAAGTATGCTTTAGGTGCCCTATGGTAATAGTTTCTAAACATTCAGATTTGTTGATAATTTAATGAATCACTAATTTTAGTAAGCAGGGGTCAGTATTTTTAAAAAATAAAATAAAATATAAGAAAAATAGTAGTAAATATTCAAGTTCACTGCACACAGTGAAGGTAGGCACTGTTCATAAATAACCTGAAAAGGTTGTATGTGTGTCCAGGTGTGTTCACACGTGTGTGTGTGTATACACAAGGTCACAAAGTTAAATGTATGTTTTAATGTGACTTATGCTCAGAAAAAGTGTGAAAGACACTATTACCCTACACCATCCTCTTTTGACCTAGACTTAACCATTCCTTCTAATCCAATTTAGCATTTATTGCACATTATTAATTTATTTATCAGATTCTCTCACAAACATTGGGAACACTGGAATAAATGCATTTATTTACCCTTAAGGAGCTCATACCTAAAAAGACAGCAAAGAGAAAAATGACTTCAGTACATGTCATTTCCTAGCAGTAGGTGAAAGTTAGATCAGAGTAAGTATTTATAACACAACTCTGCCTGAGGGAGTCAGTACAGTTTTTCACAGAAAGTGATGTTAGTGCTCAGTATGGAAGGATGAAAATGAGTTTGGTGGCCAGATGTGAAAGAAGAGAGCATTTATTCTAAATAAAGGCAACTCTGGAGCAAAGCATGAAGATTTGAAATTGGTAGAACATTTAGGGAACAGCAGATAAATTAAATGCTTAACTATGAGAGGGACTAGGGAGACAGAGTCTGGAAAAAGTATAAAAGATGAGTCAGTAAAGAAGCATTTGAGCCAGATGATTATTTGCACTAAGGAGTACAATTCTATTTGATAAGCAATGAAGCGCCAGTGAGAAATTTTACCATGAGTGGCAAACATTTGTTTAAGAAGGATAACCATGAAAGTATAAAGGGTTGGTTAGAGTTTGGTCAGTCTAGAAACAGAGATATGTCAGGTTATTTCAAGCTAAGTTTCATAAAGAAATCCACTAGAATATAGCAAAGAAATAGAGAAAATATTTAAAAGAAATGTGAGAATTATAAGAACTTGGTGACTGAGAGTGAGGACGAAAGAAGAATCAAACTAACTTCCCATTTTCTGGGTTGGTTGACAAGGTGGAGGGGGATACAAGGAGAGATCAGAGGTTAATTCTTTCACTTTGGGGTATGCTGATTTTTAAAAAACAGTGGAAAAAAAATCCAGGCCAATTTATCCAACAGGCTAGATTTTGAGTTCATGAGAAAAACCAAGTTTAGATATGCAAAATATTTAACATTGCGACAAAATTTCTGCAGCTCTTTGCATCAAGAGGTGAAACCTATTTCCCTAACCTTTGACTGTGGGCTGGTCTAGTGGCTTTTTTGTCTAGTAAAAAGCAAAACTGATTCTTGGCACATTTCAAGCTTAGGCCTCAAGAGAGGCCCTTTGCAGCCTCCACTCATGTCTTACTAGAGGGCTGCCACGTGAAGAAGCTAAGGCCAGCCTACTGCAGACACATGGGCCCACCGACAATCAGCACCAACCACCAGACATGAGGGTGAGGCCATCTTAGACAACTCAGCCCCAGCCAAGGTCCCAGATGCCTGGAGATACATGAGTGACCCCAGGAGGGATTGGCAAAGAGCCTCAGCTGATTCCACCCAAACTGTTCATGTGAACAAATGAAAAGCTTGTGGTTTTAAGCTGCTAAATTCTGGCATATTTTTTATTTGTTTGTTTGGTTGGTTGTTGCAGCGTCAGACAATTGGAACAGTTATCTATATCCTTTTGTTCCACTAACATGCTGATTATTACTTGAGCCACTAATTTGGCACTTATTCAATATATGCTGCCTTATCATTAGAAATCCTTCTATAAAGTACGACATGTTGTTAATTCCTTTAAGATGAAAAGTATTTATTTGTATCCTTAGCAGTGCCACAAAAGAAAGACATCTTGTTATTACTAATTGATTGCATTAAAAATAATATAGGGCAATAATATAGGGATTAATATAGGAAATAATATAGAGAATAAGCACTGAAGTAGGTTATGCAGAATGAATAATGACCAGGACCTAATATACTCCTGAGATACAATAAATAATTTTTTTTAGATCAAAGGTTGTATATATGTATATGTAGGCTGTTTTTTAAAGCATTCAATCAATAATGAATGATATATAATTCTGTTTTACACATGAAAACAATTTGAACATAAGGAACAGAAAATATCTGAGAATTAGAACTTTCTTTTAAATTGAAGCACTTCCTCCTCTTCCCCCCAAAATTTATTTGAGTTTCACTCCTTTTCTTCCTGCCTTGTGTCTTTTACTTAACTTTTCTTCCTTTGGTCCATGTATACTTCCTTTGGCTCCAATTACACTTCACTTTTTATTCTTTTTAAGTCATCTAAGTTTGCTACTAAAAGGCAAAATCTAGGACACTTAAACAGTCCTAGAGTACTCTGTCAATAAACAAATGATGAAAAGACAATTCTTCCTTCCAAAGAAGGCAGCATTCCCAGCAGCTTTTGTTACATGTAGTTTCTTTTCACACTGCTTTAGACTGTGGTTCTTCAAGAGTCTGTTGAAAGGTGGGATACTTATTATGGCTTCTTAGAAGTGTGTGCTTATAGGAACCTGATTCAGGTCATGTCTCAGGATGACACATACTCTTATGTTCTTTTAATGATCTGAGTATCGCTTAGCTACAGAAAACTATAACGAGCCTTCCCCAGAAATACTTAAAATATATTATCACCTAAAGTGTTGATTAAACACATGTATACACACACATATACACAGAGGAATTGAGAATGGTTTAAGATTATTAATGTCAACAAATGTGACTTCTCATATTTTTTGTCTCCCAAGACAGTATTTTGGGTACATTGGAATAATGGCTCTGTTGTGCTGAGAAACATATATTTTCTGTGTAGAAGGGAATGATTCTAATTCTTAAAAATACATTTTGATCCTAGCTAGGTAGCTCAGTTAGAGCATTGTCCCAGTCAGGGCACATACAAGAAGCAACTAATGAATGCATAAATAAGTAGAACAACAAATTGATGCTTCTCTCTCTCTCTAAAAAGCAATGAATAAAAAATTGAAAAAAGTATATTTCAGGGACACTTCACTTTTATGGTTGCTTGACAATAATTTGTCTTATATGAAATCGTATCCCGAAATGTGTAAAATGTTATCAGGGGTATATAGAGTTTTGATCCATGGCAGCGGAGAAATTCTGAGACAGACACCAACCAGCCTATCCTTCTTTCTTTCAATACACTAAAAAACACCAGTGTTAGCACCTGCATCTTAATTTTTATTTTGTAAGCAGAGAAGTAACCTAATTTTTTAATCTTTCCAACAGCATCAAAAAGTTATTTCCTATGTTTTAAGTGTCAATCAGCCCTATCTTTAGTTTATTATCAAAGGAAAATTGTCCAAGCAAACCTTTGACTTAATTGTAAGTGAAATTGACTAGATAACAACCTCTCAGTGAAATTCTCTAGATGGATTGGTTATTTAGGGCAACATCAAGATATAATACTGTCCCCATAGGCTAGACGTACCCAGGAGAGTTGAACATGTGATTGGCAGGAATAAATCAATTATGTCTACCTTCTGATTTTGCCTGAATACTCACCCAAACTAAAGCTCTCCATATACTCCTTGCTCACATTGCAGCACTGCTCCTTTCTAGACAATTTAAGAGCATGCTCTATGCTTCCTCTTTGTGAATTTTAATTACTTAATATTCACCTCTGTGCATCCCAATTTTACATGCCTTTCTACCTACCTTCCTATTTCTTTCTCACTCTTTCTTTTCAAATAATGACTATTTTTAGAAGTAAATGATAGGAAATACATCATTTGAAACCTGAGGAGTAACTGGGAGTGTCAAAAAGCCTATAAAGCAAGATTTCACTCACCCATAATCTCCTTTATTGACATGTTCAATTAATTCTGGTTCAACAAGGCATACATGCTGAGAACACTTCCATTGCCGTCCTGAACATGTGCTAGAAAAAATATAAAAAATTACAAAAGTGGCCTGGCCTTAATGAAGTACATTTACAAAATTAGTAACCACATCACATTGCTAAGGCATAAAATAAAATGTACTTGGATTCATGTTAGCCATGTGCCTATTTGATTTTTGGCAAAAAAAGCCCCCAAAACTATAGCACATGCATTAGCTCCCACTCAATAGGCTCTTACCTTGCACTCCAGGAAGTTAGTATATAAAGTGACCACACATTCACTGAAGTTTAAAAACATATCAATTTAAACAGTAGATTCAATGTATTTACAATTGGAAACTTTCTACAGGATAATCCTATTAAGGTAGACTGTTTTCATATATAGTTACTGTGTTCATAGTATATCAGAATGTTTATAATTAAGAGGTATATATAATGCAGGCCTGCTGTCTGATGAACATCAAATTCAAGCAATAAAAAAATATATTCACACACTCTGGCTGGGTGGCTCAGTCAGCTAGAGCATCGTCCTGTACACTGAAAGGTTGCAGATCTGAGTCAGAATGTGTGCAGGAAACAGTGTTTCCCTCTTATCTCTCTCTCTCTTTCTCTCTCTCTAAAATCAGTTACATATATATCTATATATGATTATCTTTTTAACATGCATTAAAATTAAATATGCTTATGCGAACTATAGGTCTATGATATATTATGACTATGATTCTATCTCTATTTGAATATATGCTTTGTTGCACAGATGTTTCTTTTATTTGAAGAAAACACATAAGAACAGTAGGATTCAGCTCAGTACCACTTAAATTTACTACCGTCAAGACGGCAGTGTAGGCAGACATGGCTCAACTCTTTTCACAACCAAAACAAAATTACAACTAAGATACAGAACAACCATGGCTCAGAAGTGACAGAAATAGAGTTGAATGGAGGTCTGGCAAATATGGAATTAAAGAAACTATGTCCATCCAGACTGGTAGGAGGGATAAAGACACAGGATGGGCCACTCTTACATTCACATGTGGTGGATAAAAATTCAGGAGGGATATCTTGAGAACCAGGAGTCCTAGCCCCATACCAGGCCCCCAACCCAGGAAGTGCCAGGAAGATAAGACCCCACAACTTCTGGCTGAAAAAAACAGTGGGGATTGAGTCAGTGGAAGAAACTTCTGGAACTCCAAGCATTTCTTTTTAAAGAACCCACACTCAGACTCACCTACTCAGACTCATTCCCTCCACACTCTGGCACAAGGGTGGCAGCTTGAGGAGCACCAGTGGCATACTGGGAGAGGCTAAGGTGTCTGGCATCTGGGTGAGCAGAGGCCATTGTCCCTTTTCTGGTCCCTCCCCTCACAGAGCTGGCAGACTGGTGCTGTATCTAAATTCCATCAACCTTGCTAACACTGTTTGACCTGCCTTAGAGATAGATCCCCAGAAACTCTGCGCCTCCCAACTTATGGGCCCACTGAAGCTGCTTGTCCATATGAATGGTTTTGGCTAGTGCTTCAAGACTTCCTAAATTCCCTCTAACAAGCAGCAGCTGGCCTCAGTGAGGCCCAGGCCAGGAATTAGCAGCCTAGTTTCATAGTTTAGCTTTGCCTGGAAATCCCCAAGCCCAGACCAAGTAGCAGCCATCTCAGATTGTTTTATAGTTCAGGCAAGGTGGTCCCCAGGCAAAACGTGGTGGGGGTTGACCTTGTCCTGCACCACCAGGGAAGCCCCAGAGCCATTGCACCAAGTGGACAGCTACAGACCATATCCAAGTACCACCACTCTGCCCCTGCATAGCTGATCCTCCATGGAAGGCGGAGGTTGGTGATAAGTGGTCACAGCCAATCCTTGCAGCTGACTGGCCTGGGTAAATCCCTCTCATTGATCTACAAACAGCAATCAAGGCTCAACTATAATAGGAGGGTGTACTCAGCCCGCACAAAGGGCACACCCAGCTTGGAAGTACCCAGCTTGGGTGATAGGGGAGGCTATGCCATTGGACTCTACAGGACCCTACTATATTAAGCAACACTACCAAGGCACAGAGTCAAATCAGCTCTACCTAAAACATAGAAACAAACACAGGAAGGTTGCCAAAATGAGGAGACAAAGAAACATGGCCGAAATGAAAGGACAGATCAAAGGTCCAGAAAAAGAGGTAAACAAAATGGAGATAAGCAACCTATCAGATGCAGAGTTCAAAACTGGTTATAAGGGTGCTCAAGGAATTCAGTGAGGACTTTAACAGCATCAATAGATTCAGAAACAAAGGATAAACTAACTGAAATAAAGAACAATCTACAGGGAAACAACAGTACAGCAGATGAAGCTGAGAATCAAATCAATGATTTGGAACATAAGGAAGCAAAAACAACCAATCAGAACAAGAAGAAGAAAAAAGAATCCAAAATGAGGATAGTGTAAGCAGCCTGTGGGACAACCTTAAGCAATCCAACATTTGCTTCATAGGGGTGGCAGGAGAAGAGAAAGAACAAAATATTGGAAATCTATTTGAAAAAATAATGAGAGGAAATTTCCATAATTTGGTGAAAGAAACAGACATGCAACTCTAAGAAGCACGGAGAGGCTCAAATAAGATGGATACAAAGAGGCACACCCCTAGACACATCATAATTAAAATGACAAAATTTAAAAATAAAGAGATAGGAGGGTAGGTGAGGGGTGAGGGAATTAAGAATTACAAATCAGTAGTTACAGAATAGCCATGGGAATATAAAATACAGTATAGGAAAGGGAGTAGCCAAAGAACTTATATGCATGAACCATGAACATGAGCAAAGGTGGGGGGATTGCCTGAGGGAGTAGGGGGTGCTTAGTGGAGGGGGACTAAGGGGAAAAAGTCAAGACAACTGTAATAACATAATCAATAAAATATAATTAAAAATAAATTGATCAAAAATTTAAAAATGTATTACCAGAAGTTACAGTTTTCTTTAATTGCTGATCCTTCTTCATAATGTTGACCCTCTCTGAGGCAACCTGCCAATATAACACGTAAACAAATGAAAATTCTAAATTGAGCAATAAAGTCCATTAACACAACAAGTAATCTAAAATTGTGTTTAGTTTTTCAATTATGCAAAAATATGTGATGTCAATTTGGTGGAAGTTCACATCTGGTTTGTGTCAAAGTTTATATATCAAATTCTTCTGGGATTATTTCATGAGCTTTTATCTAAAGAAGTCTGTATTAGATTCCAACAGAGAGGATTTGTGAAGCAAGAAAACTAGATTACTAAGAAATTACCACCAACCACACATAAAAAATAACTGTGTTTTAATAGTTAAGCAAAGTTTAAATAAGCTTACATCATTTCTTATTTTTAAAAAACTAATCAAGTGTCATAAGTGAATGTGATTAATTACATATGACTACACAAAATATGAAACCATTTCATTGAATTCTATTTTTCTTCAGGATTTGGAACAGGAGAAAATTCATGTGATTAATAATATTTCTTATATTTGTGTTCCAAATCCAGTTTTTTCAACTATTAACCCCAACCCTAACCCTAACTCTAGCCTTAACCCTATCTCTAACTCTAACTCTAACCCTCACCCTAACTCTAACTCCAACCCTAACACTAACTCTTACCCTAACCCTAACCCTAACTATGGTGAATAATCACCATATAAAAACCATCAGTAAGATACTGTGAAAATAGTATCTTGATTATATATTAAATCCTTTCTAAGAAAATAATTTATACAAATTTAAAAATCATGCTCAATTAGCAAAGTAGCAAAACTTACTACTTTGTCATGTAAAAACTTTTTTGACGGAAAGATGTAATTGATAGATCACATCAATGAACCCTAATTAAACCAAATGAATTCTAACTTTTTACTCATTCAATCTTAGGAAAAAATCTACATGTTTAGAAAATGTTCTAAAGGATGTGGTGTAACTACCAGTCACAATATCACAAAAGCCGCTTATACAATTACCTATCCTTTGATTTTTCAAAAAATTGTTTTGTAGGAAACTTTACAACTAGCCTTCTTCAGCATGTATTATGTTTTTCAGCTTAATATTTTTCTTAATGAATGAATCTAAAATCTCTATGTGGTTGCATCTATTCACCTCTTTCCTATGGACTTTTGACATTTTATAATCATGAAAAAAGGGGAGGAAACTACTTCTCTCCACCAATTTCATGACACGGCAAAGATGAGAGGAAAGATTCAGCTTTCAATCAAGTTCAAAGTTATAATTACTACCCAGGATTACAAACTTTTAATTAATGAGTGTACACTATGTTTGTAACTTAAAGAGACCTTAAAACATTTTGTTATCTAGAAGCTACAGAAAATTCATGTAATGATTCATGTTAGTTCAAAGTCAAGGGGAGTACCTCTCTGATTAGTTTAAGGGGAGGGTGAGTGGTAAAATCAAAGCTGATTTTTAATTATCCCCCATGGATCTTGCTTGTACATCACATCACAGTCATGTAGATAAAGGGAACAGAAATCATAAGGTCCTAAGGGAAAAAGGCCATCCCTTCCCTGACCCGGACTCCATAAAATCTAGAATAAAACCAAATATTTTACAGCAACTTCTAAGGCCTTACCCAAATGCCTCTGCTCCCATTGCTCCTGTTGCGCTGGCTGGGGTGGGGTTCCCAGAACCTGAAGGATTTGCACAATAGTAGGACGGAGAGAAGTGGGCATAATGGGAGGTAAAGCAATGGGACATGAATTGAGTTTGGGAAGTGAAGAAATAGAGGAATCAAGGGTGTCTCACTAGGAGTTTTACTTTAGCAATACAAGGATGGTGAATCTGTTACTGAAATAAGGAACAGGTTTGTGACAAGAAATCAAGAGTTCTGCTTTGCCTATTTTAGGTTAGAAATGCTACTGGAGGATAAAAATCCAGAGTTAAGTCAAGACTGAAGCGTGAGTTTAAGAGAGAGCAACATACATATTTTTAAAGCCTTAAGACGAAATAAGAGTCCATTTGAAAGGTTGTATATAGGTAAGAGAAAGAGATCCAGAGCAAAGTTTAAAACACTCCATCCAACAGACATTCAGAAGAGGAAACTGGGAAGGAATGGCCTGAGAGGAAGTAGCAAATTCAGGAGAGGGCAGAATCTTGAAAAGCAGGAGAACAAAGGATTTCAGACAAGCAGAAGTCATCAATCACCGAGAGTAGTGCAGGGAGGTGAGAGAGAGAGAGAGAGAGAGAGAGAGAGAGAGAGAGAGAGAGAGAGAGAGAGAGAGAGAGACCAGACATCTGAATATTGCATTTAGTAATGTCAAAGTGGTTAATAACCCCATCAAGAGAGATTTCACTGATTAGCAGGAAATGACATCTTGTAGGATACATTGATAAGAGACTTAGTAGTCAGGAAGCAGAATGTTTCAGCTATTTTGCCATTAAAGGAAAGAAGGAAATGGGATAGTAGCTGGTTCAGGACACAGAATCAAGGGAGGTTTTTCAAAGTTAGGAGCTGCTACAAATACACATTTTGTAAATTTAATAGTTGATCAGGAAGGATGGGAGAAAATGATGATTTAGGAGAAAGAGAAGGACAGGTAGGAGAGATACAGAGTGGAAGGGAGGGGGGAGAAGGGAAAGAGATCATTGTAAGGGTAAAGATCTTGAAAACACTAGAGTCTGGGATTTAAAGGTCAAGAGGAAGAATTGACTCAAGGTAAGCAGTAACCCAGATGGAATTAGGTGAAAAATTATGACAGAGAGATAAGACAATTCCCGGTGGCTTTATATTCACAGTGAAATATGTATGAAGCACCTCAGAGTGAATTAATTGATGGTTACATGTATAGGATCTCAACAATAACAACAAAAAAGGTAACGACTATTGAAATTAATGGAATTTTGCAACTTTAACAGCCACCAATACAAAACATTTGGAGAGTGAAACAGTTGGTCTACTGATGTGAGAAAAGATAAGATGCTTATAATTTATTTTTAAATACTTTAACATAATGTGTTATAATATCTGTGCTGGTCTAAACTTGACTTTAGGGAAGGCAGTTACTTGCTCTAATCAGGATTCCTACATCTCAGCAGTGATCACTCAGAAAAGCCAGATTCCAGGGCAGCTGCTGTAAGTGCCTCCATTATCCATCTTTTGATGAATGCTAGAGTGTGGGTATAATGAATGTCAGAAATGGGCTTCCATTGTTAAAACTAGTGGCTTGTTAATCAGCATAATAGATGTAAATAATCAGCTCTTATTGGTTAAATTAATAGTACTCAATTTATATAGATTACATAAAATAGTTTAAGTTACATTCTACTCATACCTCATAGTTTATATGTATCTCTAAGGTACAAAGCTGTTATTCTTATACCTGGTGTCCTAGAATTGATCTCTGAAAGGTCCTGTGCCCGGCCACTGGCAGGAGGATTTCTCATTCCCTGACACCCACTGTAATGATAAAAAAGTCCTACCTCTGTAATATTATCACATGTCCCTCCAATACATTTTCACACAAAGTAGATGTATGAAGCTTATAGAGGTTGTATGAATTGGTTCCTTACCAATGTCTCCTTACCAATATACGTTTTTGTAACTATCAGTATTTACAGCAGAGTTTGAGTGTGACTTATTATCATTATAATGTAATTTAAAAGGTTATGAAGGAGTAAATAATATTCCTCCAATTCAAATGTGTCAGTGGCTCCCATACATTTTTTTACCAATGTGAACGTGAGTTGTGCATGATCAAATTAGCTTCAGTCTAATCACAACAGATGGTATACTCTACTCTTAAGATCTGCTACAGCAAAAGATTCTGCCTGGAAAATCCACTCTGGTTCCATTTCAAACTCAATCACTTGTTTTCTGTATTTGACATTTGAAATCCTCCACTTATTGGAAGTTACCATCAGAGATGAGGAGAAAAACATAGAAGGAAGATATTTGGCAATGTGCTCTACATCCAGTTTATACAAAAGGGATGTGATGTTTTTAATTCTTAAAACAATGTACATAGTTTTAATTCACTGGTTTAAAGGAGCTCCTAAGATAGAGTACAAAAAAGTAGACAATACCATGTATGAGATAACTAAAAATATTATTTAATAGATCAGCGAATTAACAACACATCTTAGAAGAAATAGACTGTAAAAAATGTGTAAGTAATATACCATTGTTTTTGCATTAGCTAATTTTGCAAAAATTTTCAATGTTGTGTAGAAGTATTTTCTTTTAATCAGCTATTCTGTAAGCAAGATAAAAAAAAGAAAAAAATTACCTTCATGAGAGCAATTATAGTCTAATGTGAACTTTTCCCTACTGAATAAAAAATGATTAATTGCTTCCCTTCATAATGAATTGAATAAAAACTACAAGATAAATTCTGCCTAAAAATGATCGTAAACTAAAGTCTTAGCAAAATTCTAGCCCTCAAGCAAAAATGAACATTGAAGAAGTAGTAATTACTTTCTAAACAGGCTATATATCTCAAAAAAAAGAAAAGCTCAAATACATTTCAGCACATGCAAAGCACTGCAGTTTATACATAATATTTAGACTTACCCATGAAACCAAACCTTTTCCTACTTAACACCTTTCTATGGTTTCTCATAACAGAATTGTTAAATCCTTAATATGACCTATAAATCCTGTCATAATCTGACCTCTATTCACCTTTCAAACCTCATCTCATGGCACCCGAGCCCTCCAATAATCATTACTATGCAGAAAGGGTGGTCTCCTTTTAGTTCCTAGACCGAGCTCCTTGGGCTCAGACCAGAACAGCCCTTGGATCTTCAGGCCAGATCCTGTCTCCTCACTCCTTGAGTCTCAGTTTAAATGTCCTCGTTTGCTGCCCTCCCCTACAGGCTAAATGTGTATTTTATTTTATACTCTATTTTATATTTGAAGTTACTCATTCATTCAAGATTTTTAAAAAGTGTTAGATGTAATATTTATTAATAAAGGAAGAATATTTGCAAATGTGCTCAAAACAGACCTATTTGCATTAATGTATATGTTATTTTATACATTAATGGTATATTCTGATATACTTTCTCACAGCCCCTTAAGTGCTTCCTTCAGAGAAGTTATGCCTGTTTGAAGTTGTACAGTGAATTTGTTAAATATCTGATACACACATTCCCCAACTTGACTGTCACTTCAATGAGAATAAGATCTTAGCCTTGTTTCTTACCCATGGTTGCCTCAGAACTAAGCATTATACCTAGCACAGTGGAGACATTCAATGAATGATTTTTAAAAGATTTTACTTATTTATTTTTAGACAGAGGGGAAGGTAGGGAGAAAGAGAGGGAAAGAAACATCAATGTGTGGTTGCCTCCCACACATCCCCTACTGGGGGCTTGGCCTGCAACCCAGGCATGTGCCCTGACTGGGAATTGAACCAATGACCCCTTGGTTCTCAGGCCAGTGCTCAACCCACTGAGCCACATCAGCCAGGGCTCAATGAATAATTTTTGATGTACATCTAAATCTCTCATTCCTAGTAGAATATCTGCCAGTTTTTAGGGTTAAATGTTTGCTGCACTGTTTATCGATAAAGGCAAAGGCTTGAGATAAATGACAATCCTGCAGAAATTTTAACATTATATGTGTTTTTTTCATTTTATTTTAATCATTGTTCAAGTACAGTTTTCTCCCTTTTACTCCCATTCTAGCCCACCCACCCAACCCTCCCCACTTCCCTCCCATTACCACCCTCCCCCTAGTTTTTTTCCATGTGTCCTTTAAATTTGTTCCTGTAAACCCTACCCATTCTCCCCTGAAATTCCCTCTTCTCTCCCCTCTGGTCACTGTCAGCCTGTTCTCTATTTCAGTGTCTATGACTATATTTTGCTTGTTTCTTTGTGTTTTAAGAAGGGTTTCCTCAATTTTTAGAAATTAGATGACATTGAGAATGAAGATAACAGCATCTGGATTTTGAAACAAGATCTTAATTTGGAAGGATATCAAATTCTAGTTTACATTAAATTTTGTCCTAACTGTAATTTCTAGTCAGTATACCCATTTACAGTAGTATGACAAAGCTCTGATTAAACCACATTCCTGCTGAGGAAATTTGATCTGATGGGTGACAGAGAAATAAGGCTTCATAAACAGAGTTTAGTGCTTGTTGCAAACCTTGAATATGTGATAATTCAAAATCTATAGTCATTCTCTTCTAATTATACCAATATAGTAAATACCATCATTCTCTTTATGACTTATTTGTATTTACCCACTAATTAGATTTTTACAATTACTTTATATGAAGGTCTCCTTTCTTTATAATAGTTTAAAAATCCCAGATGGGCAAAATAAAACAAAACAAAACAAAAATGCAAATGAAGAATCTATTTGGTACTAGGCAGGGTGGGTGGCTGACTTTATTTGGCATCTGTACTGGTTTTAGTGGCTTTGCAAAACCATAGATTCTAATGCTAGGAGGTCTGTTAGTCCCATAAGATAGTAAGTAAAATATTGCATGAATCTGCAGATGGTCATGTGACTTTCATGAGATTCTCTAAGAGGTTACACTCAAGAAAGCTTGAGAGTCCTGTCATCGATACATTTTTACAAAGAAAGAAAAAATGTTTCCAGTAACTTTTATATAGGTTGATTGTGTTTCAAAAGAGGATTCAGAGCAGCATTCATGACCATCACACCAGAACTTTCCTGGTGGTGCTAGTATGATTCATGTACCTTCATCTAAGCCAAAATACTCTAACAACCCTAAGGCAATTACTCTGGTAATCCCAATATTTATTTTTTTGAATAATGAATCTTAAAGAAGGATGGAAGGGAGGGAGGAAGGGAGGAAGAAGGAAGGAGGAAAAGAGAAAGTTTGTCAGACCTTCTTTTGAGCTGGTACAACATAATGCTGACACGCATTCCCAAAGCCTACCTTCTGGATACCAAGGCTCTGTGTAAGGAGGCCATTCTTTCTCTTCACGGCAAAATGACTGGTAATCAGGACAGCAATCAGAATTCTCCCTTTCACAGAATTTATCACAGTAACACAGGGCATTCACCTCATAGAAGTGAGTGACACAGCCATCATCTCTGTCTTCACAGCACCCAAAACTTCTACAGTATTGCCCTTTGAAAATGGCTCTTTTGAATCGAGTACCTTCCAAAATGGTGTGATTGCTAGTGAAATCAGCTCCAGGGTCCACTTCTCTCTGAGATGCATACTGTTTCTCCATCCAAATTTTTGTAATAAGATAAGAGAAGATGAAGATTTTATATCCAGTCCACATTCTCTACAGGTCACATACAGCTCCCACTCTCTGTTATATCCAATATACGACTCCTTGGGGCTTCTCTTTGGAGACTGAATTCTAATCACCAAGACAACTCCGCTGGAATCCTGATACTGATCCTTTACTTGAACTGAGTACACTTCATGTAGTTAAACATTAATCAAGAATTTAAATGTTTGCCCAAGATAATGTGTTAGAAGCAGGCTGTTGTAATTCCTCTGAAGTTAACAATTTATAATATTTCATATTATGTAAAAAATGTTCATCACTATAAAATAAATACATAGATGATATATCAAATATTGCTTGTCTCCCCCAAAACCTAGATTTTTAGTCAAAAACCTCTCTAGAATATACATGGCCAAAATTATGACTGCAATAACTACTGTCAAGGGACAGGAAATTCAAAAGTCAAAACCACAATTATTCATTTCACCTACTTGCATTGCAACTGGAATCCAGGCTCTCATGAGGCTGCCTGCGAGGATCTGTCATATCAATAATAGTTGCTATAAATCATGCCCAGTCACACGCTGGTTTGATTTCCCATCTGTACTCTGTTTACCTACCAGGAAGCATTTTGATTTCAAGGCTTAGTGGAACCTAATTCAGCCAGAAATTCCCTGAGGATGACAGTTCTCTCCACCTGAGTCCCTGCTTGGCATCAACATAGCAACCTGCAGTAACTGGAAGGCAGTGTATAGTTAAGGAAAGTGCATACTCTGTACTGAAGAACATCAGGGGGAGGGAATTGTGAAGGAAACTCAAAGGTCAAGATGTGCTTAGTGCTTCTGTAGAGCTGTGCATTTACACTGGGTTTTGCTACACGGTATTTATTCATTAACTACAATAACTCCCTTTGGATTGGGGATTAGTAACCAACAGATGATGATTCAGCAAGAGTAGGTGGATGGCGTAGTGGAAAGAGCTTGTCTCGACAATCAGAAAACTTGGACTCTTGTCCCCAAGCTACTATTTAATTGGCTTTAAAACCTGGGGTTGATAACTTGCTTCTCTGGTCCTCATTTATTTTTCTATAAAATCAGGGTCTTCCCCTTCAAGGCTAATTCATAATTCCAACCCTTCAAATTTATTCATTGACTTTGTTCCATAAATTATTGGATTCACAGTTTAATCTTCATTGTTGCGCTTGCTTTTCGCACCTTCCTTTTTCTCTTTTTATTTCATTTTACATCATCTTGGTATCACTCTCCATAATCCCCCTGTCTCTCCAATTCAAAAACTGCTGCCTCCACCTCCTTGTCATGCACTGAGTCGCTCAGCTGCTGTAAAGTGCAGTCTACATTCTCACGTATATTCCCCAGCAACCTCCTAACATCCAATCCCCGAAGACCTGCGTCCACCTTTATCATACAGGGTGGGTCTCATGCAGCACTTAGCCTGGGTGCAAATCCTAGTTTTACCACTGACCAGTCCCATGTCTTTGGGACAGTGGCCCAGCCACTCTCTACCTCAGTTTTCTTATCTACAAAAGTTGTATAATAATATTTATTACCACGTCAAGTGAATGGAAAATTTAATTAAAATAATACAAATAGAAAGTATAGCACATGCTATACCACATGCAAAATAAATTAGTTATTTATTAAGGATACTCTTTAGTAAGTATACTCTCCCTCTAGGAACTCTTTCCTCTTTTGCCTGCTATGTTTCCATTCATTCTTTATTTTCTTCCCCTTCTTGATGGACTCATTTCCTTTTCTTCTAAGTGGTCATGTTAGAATATTTTTTCACAAACATTCTCATTTTGTTTCCTCCCTATTCCTCACACCTTATCTTTCCTCAAAAATCCTAGCCTGCATCACCCTAGAAGCCATGAGTCGCAAGACCTTATACCTCCAACACTGTTATTTCCCTGACCTCACTTTAAACCACTTTATACCTTGCTCATATTGCCACTAGCTTCCTTGCCATTCCTCAACATGCCAGGCTCCCGCCTGTCTTAGTACCTATACCCTTGCTGTGCCCTCTGCCTGAGGCACACATCCCAGATATTTCCCTGACTCACTATCTTATTCTTTCAAGTGTTCTTTTAGACCAGGGGTCCCCAACCCCTAGGCCACCAACTGATACATATCCTGCAGCCTGTAAGGAACTGGACCACAAGCGAAGCTCCCCTGAACTCCACCTCCTGTATCCCCTACACCTCCACGTCATACCCGATCCATAGCAGGGGGGTGAGGCTCACCTGAGTTCTGCCTCCTGCCCACCTCCCATATTCCATGAAACTGATCTGTGGTGCCAAAAAGTTTGGGGACCACTGTTTTAATCTACACCTTCTCAGAGAGGCCACACCTACATTTCCTATCTAAAATGACACCCCTTCCCAGCCCCATCACTCCCTGTCCGCATTCTCTATGCTTATGACTAATAAATAATAATTTTATTCATTGATTTTATTTTCTTATTTTTTCTCCAGAATGTAAAATCTCCAAAATCATAGAATTTTGTCTATTTGTAATTTGCATGTTTTCCTACAGCACTCAGTGCCTACCACGTATTTGTCTTTCAATAAATATGTATTCAATCAATGAATGAATTTACAATTTGCATTTTCGGCCCCTGTACCACATCTGCTGAGCACTGTTGGAGGTGATCCATCAGCCCATAGTACTGATGCCACCACACATTTTTGGATTTTTATCTCAGCTAAGCTCTTAAATGCTGCTTATATATTTTTTAACTTGCTTCCAATTTTCCCTACTAACTATTACAAACTTTGCTTTCCTAACCTACTAAAGATCATCACTTTCCAAGTGATCTTTAAACCTATCTACATTTGCAGCCATCCTTCCATCTTCCTTCCAGACGCAGGAGATGAGGTGTTGTCCTGTTCTCAAGCGATTCTTCCACCTATGATTTTTGGTCTGTGACCATTTACCCTATTCCTTCACTTGTCTCTTGGTTTCTATCCATCTTCAAACTCTCTCTTACCCAATTCCTTCAGTCCGTACCATTTTAGAACAAAGCTAGCTGAAATTCCAACTTTATGAGTTACTGACCAGGGCCTACTCCTCCCCGCACCCCACTCCATAACAAGCCTGAAGTGCTGAAGAACTAACACCCTCCCTGTAACCCAAAAGCAGCCATTACAGGATGCCTAGAGGAAATGGTTCCCATGGATGCATTTTCTCTGACATCTACACAGTAGCCCTCACCCTGAAGTGAGAGTGGGAGTTCCGTGTGTGGAGGAATGGCCGGAGGTGTGCTGACTTATTTGTTTATGGCACACAGGTAAATACTACAGTTTATCATTGTCTGGTGTTATTTACTGATCATAACATCTCATTTTAACTAATGTACCTTCTCTAAACTGACAAAAGCTTTCAAATATCCCTCCGTGTCAAGGAACTTCACATTGAAAGTGACATATTGACACAAGTGTTACTACTGGTGTGTTTCTTTGGACCACTGCTTTTCAGCAGGGGTGACTTTTCCCCCTAGGAAAAGTTTAGCAATGTCTGGAGACAATTTTTACTGTCCTGACTGTACAGGTTCCACAGCATCTAGTAGATAGAGGTTAAGGATGCTGCTTAACATCCCAGAATACACTGGTCAGAACCCACAACAAAGAATCTCTGGTCCAAAGTGTTAATGACACTGATAATAAACCCTGTTTTACACATATTGTAACAAATTTTGAACAAACAAGAAATCAGAAACAAATGAAAATAGCATGCCTACTTGCAATTGGATTTAACTAAAGGTTGATCAGATGAACTTCCACTAACTCATAGCTTTGAGATATTATAATGACAATAGTACATACAAACTGAGGGTGCTTTTTCAAAAAATTTGGGTGTGTTGCCCTGGCTGGTGTGGCTGAGTGGATTGAGCACCTGTCTGCAAACCAAAAAGTCACCAGTTTAATTCCCAGTCAGGGCACATGCCTGGATTGCAGGCCAGGTCCCCAGTTGGGGGTTTGTGAGAGCAACTGATTGATATAGCTCTCCCACATCGATGTTTCTCTCCTCTCTTTCTCCTTCCCTTCCCCTCTCTTTAAAAAATAAATAAATGAAATTTTTTAAAAACCAAAATTCAGTGTGGTATATGTATGACTCAAAGGTTCAAGTCCACCATGCCATACCCTCTTCCAACTTGGTGATTCTCCTTGGGTGAGGTACATTCCAGATGAGAAGTTCCACATTCCCTCCTCTTGTGATTTTTATGACCTCCATCACACAGAAGACAGTGGAGGCAATCCTCAGCCTTCTGGGTTTTTTGGAGGAAGAGTGAAGTCAATCAAATAACTTCCTTAATATTATATCTTAGCTAGATGTTATGAAAATTACTGGACACTGGAAAATTTAATTGTTCTTATAATTGGAAGTTTAAATAGGCAAAATATAAACTTGAAAAGGGGAGAGAGAGAAAGACATAACAGAAAGGTGAGCTTACTGAACACAATCTATTTTGTTGTCTTAAATTCTATCATTAGAGATTTATTCCTCTGAATTATGAAGTTTGCAAATGTGTCTTATGGTAGTAAGTACTCTTTGATGAAGTGACTTAAGAAATACTAACTCACCTTTCAGGGGTCAGAGCTCGATCTCCTCACCTTGACAGGAGATCTGGGATGCTCCACGAGTGGTGAGAAGGACTGGAGAGGGCCGGAAGAACTGCATACAGGAAGACTTGCCGAAAATAAAATGTTCTTTCTTCACACATTGGCCATCAAGTACTTATATGAAGCTACCTTCTTATTTCTACTCCACTGAGTTAATTCAATTTTTAGAAAAAAGAATTTCAATAAGATGTGAAGAAAACTTCCAATTGCAAGGTGCAATTGTCTTTGGATTAGGCTGCTGAGGGACACAGCAGGATTTTGAACATTAAAATTACAATGTGAATCCATATGTGTGTGTGTGTGTGTGTGTATATATATATATATCCTATATATGTGTGTGTACATATCTATATGATACACAATACATATTGTGTTACTGTGTGTACATAATCTCTGCTAATCCTTGCAATAGTCTGTGATGGCAAAATTATTATTATCCCTGTTTTGGTTTTTATAGATGATGAACTGAGAATTGAGTGACTACACAAGGTCACACAGCCAGTGATGGAGTGTGTGACTCCAAGCTTGGTGCACC